TCATAGTGACTTGCAATATTCACAGTCTGACATCAGTGCTGAGTTCTATACTGTAAGGTTAACCCGGCCTGCTATAATAGTTTGAAAATGAAAAACAGTTGAAAACACTTGCTAGAAATTTTGAAAAGTAATCAAATGTAATCAGTTGCATTACTTTAAAGTAATTGAGATAGTTACACTACTTATTACATTTTAAATAGAGCAACTTGTACCAAAGTAACCTTCCCAACACTGATTATAGTTTTTATTATAGACACTCCAGGAAGTCTCTAGCATCATCTTTTTAATATTCATGAGCCAAGCTTTTTGCAATAGTGGGTTGCACTGATTGAATCGAAGTGAGCGGGGCTATTGGCGCGGAGGCGTGGTCGTTGTAAAGTCGCCTAAAACTGGATCAGAGTTTAACACGAGTATTCGGAGGATCATGCGATGCAGAGATGGCCGATCTCACCGGCTCCCTGTCCTTGCTGCTGGGGATTGTAGTTTTTAGCGAAGTGGCGAGGAGAACGGCTTTATATCTATTCCCAAATCGAAACTGGATCATCTATGCGCTCGAGTTGATCTCCACTTTTCAGCTGTGTGCATGCACGCACGAGTTAAAGCTGCTCGCGGAGATGGGCGGACTGGAGCCGCAGATCGCGCTGACGCTCACCTTCCTCATCTCGGTGGTGCACGGACTTTCATTCCGCGGCGCGATCTGTAGCCCGACCGGCGCTCTGGAGCAGCTCTACCTCGGGACTCTGACGCGGCGATGCGCACTGACGCGGATCTCATGCCAGCTGCTCGCGGCGGAGGCGGCGCGGCGCGTCATGCCTCACGCGTGGGCCCTGGCGCTCTCTGACCTGCACGCGCAGCACTCGCTGACGGGCTTTTCATGCACGAACAGCCCCGTTAACGCGCCTCTGCTGCAGGCCGCCGCGGTGGAGCTGGGCTGCGCGTTTGTGATGCACACTGCGGCGTTTAACGTGGAGAGGGTGGAGGAGAAATATCGCGTTCCTGCGATAGCTGCTGTCATCACCATATTAGTCTATGCAGGTGTGTGCACTGACCACAGCTACCACCGCTGTACTCTATAAGCTGTGCACGTGTTCTTATTGGCTTTTCCCACATGCATGTCAAATCAAAAGCATCTATCTATTTGTATATCTCATCATTTTTCTTTCTATCTATCTGTTTGTATATCTCATTTTTCTTTCTATCTGTTTGTATATCTATCATTTTTCTGTCTTATCTGTCATTTTTCTATCTATCTATCTGTATATCTATCATGTTTCTTTCTATCTTATCTATCATCTATCTGTTTGTATATCTATAATTTTTCTATCTATCTCTATAATTTTTCTATCTATCTATCTGTTTGTATATCTCATTTTTCTTTCTATCTGTTTGTATATCTATAATTTTTCTTTCTATCTATCTGTTTGTATATCTATCATTTTTCTATCTATCTTTATTTTTCTAGCGTTCATTCTATTTATCTGTTTGTATATCTATAATTTTTCTATCTATCTGTATATCTGTCATGTTTCTATCTATCTTATCTATCATCTATCTGTTTGTATATCTATAATTTTTCTTTCTATCTATCTTTATTTTTCTATCGTTCATTCTATCTATATCTATCTTATCTGTTTGTATATCTATCATTTTTCTGTCTTATCTGTCATTTTTCTATCTATCTATCTGTATATCTATCATGTTTCTTTCTATCTTATCTATCATCTATCTGTTTGTATATCTATAATTTTTCTATCTATCTCTATAATTTTTCTATCTATCTATCTGTTTGTATATCTCATTTTTCTTTCTATCTGTTTGTATATCTATCATTTTTCTGTCTTATCTGTCATTTTTCTATCTATCTATCTGTATATCTATCATGTTTCTTTCTATCTTATCTATCATCTATCTGTTTGTATATCTATAATTTTTCTATCTATCTCTATAATTTTTCTATCTATCTATCTGTTTGTATATCTCATTTTTCTTTCTATCTGTTTGTATATCTATCATTTTTCTGTCTTATCTGTCATTTTTCTATCTATCTATCTGTATATCTATCATGTTTCTTTCTATCTTATCTATCATCTATCTGTTTGTATATCTATAATTTTTCTATCTATCTCTATAATTTTTCTATCTATCTATCTGTTTGTATATCTCATTTTTCTTTCTATCTGTTTGTATATCTATAATTTTTCTTTCTATCTATCTGTTTGTATATCTATCATTTTTCTATCTATCTTTATTTTTCTAGCGTTCATTCTATTTATCGGTTTGTATATCTATAATTTTTCTATCTATCTGTATATCTGTCATGTTTCTATCTATCTTATCTATCATCTATCTGTTTGTATATCTATAATTTTTCTTTCTATCTATCTTTATTTTTCTATCGTTCATTCTATCTATATCTATCTTATCTGTTTGTATATCTATCATTTTTTCTATCTATCTGTCTATAATTTTTTCTATCGTTCATCCTATATATCTATCACCATTTTTTGCTATCGTTCATTCTATCTATCGTTCATTCTGTACTGTATTGTGTGAAGGTGGTCATCTCACTGGCGCGGTGTTTAACCCGGCACTGGCGTTCTCGATACAGTTCCCCTGTCCTGGGAACACTTTTGCGGAGTACAGTTTTGTGTACTGGATTGGACCAATACTGGGTGAGCATTAGTATTACAACATTCACTTTGACCTTTGAAGAAATCCTTCAGAGACTGTTCTGTAATTAAATAATTGTTATTTTTGTTAGGAAAACAAGTGTATCCTGTCAAACAAGTATAACAAAAGGCCAATCAATAAAGTGTCTTTAGTGCCAGAGGAAAATCATGAACAACACTAACTACTCAGCAAAATGTCTGAGAATCATTTAAGCACCACATGTATGTCTCAGTGTTTATTTGCTCACAAACCATACCTACAATCATAAAGCACATGTGTGCATGTTAACTCATAGTATTTATTAACAACAGCAAGAAAAATACAGTTCTATGTGTTCTTCATGCTGTTTATCTTACAGGTATGACAGGCTCTCTGCTGCTTTTTGACAAAGTGATCCCTGCTATTTCAGGGAAAAGCACAATTCCAAAGCACCTGAACTCTAATAGACTCGAGACGAAAAAGATGAAGTGATCTAATGCCTTATGACAGACTCTGATTGCATATGTGATTATATACTGTGAATATACACTGTAATTCTCCAGCTCATCTCCAAGTTTTAACCAGGGTTTCTGCAGGTTTTAAAAGGTCTTAATTCGCCCTTCTCAAGGCCTAAAAAGGTCTTAGAGCAGAAAGTCTTAAATTCATAACATAAATGTTGGATGCACAGGACAAATGAGTATCTTCCTCAGTATTTTGTCTTGTATTTCTAATACAAATATCTGAACATCCTTAAATCAAGATATACTTTCTTGAGATGCAAACTGAACATATGAAGTCTTGTTTTCTGAGAAATCGAACAAAAATAAGCGAGTTTGACTACAACAAGAACAAACATCTGTCAATGGCGAATGAAACCTTTTCCATTTGAATCAAGTTGATTTGTCTAAGCCTACTAGCAGATACTTGTTCGTTTTAATCAATTTCTCAGAAAACAAGACTTTAGTTATTTTGCTTCTCTAATAAATGTATCTTGATATGAAAATCTTTAGACATTTGCACTAATACAAGACATTTACATTTAGAGACCATATTAAAGTATTGTGTTCCATTCAGTTTATTACTTTCATTTTTTTCTTTAAAGTCTTACATTTATCTTCATAAAACCTGCAGAAACTCTGAATAACGAAATTGAAGGGTCCTGAATGTTTTTCTTTTTTAGATGGTTTTTGGTGAAATCTAAAATGCTTTCAAAATGTCTTTTTTAATAAGAACATGCATATTCATGAAGCACAATGAATCTCTAATGACATATAGCTGCAGGTTTACAGTAACATTCATAAAAAGCACATGGCACATGGTTTTGTTAAATCATATTTTAACAGATGGACATTGCTGGAATAAGAGACCTGAAGTGTTCTATTGCTGTTAGAATACTATTTTGTGTTAGATTCTACTAGCGATGGTTCTTACCTAGTAAAAGGTAAATGTTATAGTAGTACTACTAATCTTAAACACAGTTTTGCAGTGCTTTTGGATTATTCTGGGTAAAATAACCTGGGTAGACCAGACCGGATTGAGTGCCGCGTCTACAAGCCAATGCAGAATGTATAATATGGGATAATAACACACTCCTGTGTTACGAGGATTTAAATAAAGCAGTGATAAAATCTGTTTGTAATTAAACTTTACATAAAAGCACATGGCTCAGTGGTTATGTAACCTGAGAGGGCAAACAGGCTGTTGTGAAATAGTTTCTGATGGACCTTTGAACTTTTGTGAACGCACAGATGTGCTGAACCAAACTGATCTGGCAATTTATTTTTCACTACAGCGTGCAACAAAAGGCAAGCAAAACAGAACAAATGAAAGTGAACAATTGTGAGCTGTAGCAGGGTGTTCACACATGAATGCAAATTGTTGACTTGATGTGCGGTCAAATTCCATCTTTAAAGGAATAGTTCACCCAGAAATAAAAATTTGCTGTAAATGTCATCCTCATCCTCAGGCCATCCAAGATGTAGGGGAGTTTGTTTCTTCATCAGATTTGGAGAAATCTTGCTCACCGGTGGATGCTCTGCAGTGAATGGGTGCCGTCAGAATGAGAGTCAGAACAGCTGATAAAAACATCACAATAATCCACAGCACTCCAGTCTAGTGTTGGGCGATATGCTCAATTTTCATATCGTCAGCCTGTGAGATCGCCGATGCACGATATTATCGCGGTAATTTATGTAATTATTTACTTAGTTTCATTGCGAGAAAGTGAACCAACTCCAGCGTAAGACTAAAAGCAGCCCAATGTTTTTAATATGACTGAATTTGTATTTAACATGATAACAAATTAATAGAAACATCGTAAATGACTAATTCTAATGCTTACATTTCCTCGGTTACTCAAAAAGCAGCTGCAGAAAACGAGCAAAGAACATTACATTACCAAAGAACATCATCACAAGCTCAGTCTAGCGCGAGTTTATGCACTTTAAAAACACTCCCGTTTAAATCAGTGAATCTACACTATGTGATGAATAAATCTCTTATACTTACATCGCACGTACATCTGCACTTTGTTGTTTATAATGAGAAAATTTGCAAATCAGAATTCAGTCAGCGCGCGCTGAACAACGGAGCTCCGCTGCTTCAGCGAGGACTCATCTGAACGCCTCTGATTGGCCAATGCATTCATAAACTCAGCATAATCGTGTGTGATTGGTTAGAACACGCAATACTGTAAAAACACGCAATACTGTAAATATAATGCAACAAATAAGCCCTAATATTTAATTAGATAGTATTACTAGCCTGATAATAACGAGGACTCATCTGAACGCCTCTGATTGGCCAATGCATTCATAAACTCAGCATAATCGTGTGTGATTGGTTAGAACATGCAATACTGTAAATATAATGCAACAAATAAGCCCTAATATTTAATTAGATAGTATTACTAGCCTGATAATAATGATAATAATGATAATAATAATAATCGTCTTGCTATCGTCAAAGGCATCAGCCACAGGCGATACCTCTCTATCGTCTATCGGCACAACCCTACTCCAGTCCATCAGTTAACATCGTATGGAGTGAAAAGCTGCATGATTGTAATAAACAAATCCATCATTAATACTTTTTTAACTTTAAACTGTCGCTTCTCGCCAAAATACCTCTATCCATAATATTACTTCCTCCAGTGAAAAGTCCATCTGGTCTGAATCAGGAGAGAAATCTGCACAGATCAAGCACAGCTTACAAGCCAAAACAGCTCTAAACAATTATATATATATGAGGATTTTGATGTGAAGGACAACAGGAGATTTCACTTTTTTCACTTGAGGAAGTGTTATTATGGATTATGGACCTGTATTTTGGCTGGAAACAAGGGGTTGAAGTTAAAAAAACATCTTGATGGATTTGTTTTACAAACACAGCTTTTGGCTTCACAAGACATTAACTGATGGACTGGAGTGGTGTGGATTATTGTGATGTTTTTATCAGCTGCTTGGACTCTCATTCTGACGGCACCCATTCACTGCAGAGCATCCATTGCTGAAACAGTGATGTAGTGTTACATTTCTCCAAATCTGCTCCCATGAGGAAACAAACTCAAAATCGTGGATGGTCTGAGAGTGACAATTTTCAGCTAATTTTAATTTTGGGGTGAACTGTACCTTTAAGCTTACATTTGAGTGCTACTTGAGTTTTCTTAATGTGTGAAATACAATAATGATGGGATTATTCAGGGTGCTTTAATTACAAAAGCACTGATTCTCTTCAGAACTACTGATTGTTAAAAGGTTGGGAGGAAGTTTTAGAAGGTGTGTAAAGTATCATGAGTGAATCATTAGCTAAATCATCTCAGCACACTCACGCTCAGGTCTCATGAGAATAAGTATGGAGTTCGTTTAGAGGCCAACAGATATGCATTTAAGATATATAAACATTTCTGAAAGATTTTGTACTTGTGCAAGCTGCTCAGCCTGGGCCTGTTCTGTGTGTCGCCGCTGTAATCTGTCATCAGGACTAAGTCCTAATCAAGAGAGAGAGAAATCACACAAACTCCAGCACTGCCTGAACACACATTCATTCATGATAAATGCATGGAATATCTGTTCGATTACAGCACTGAACAATATAAGGGATTAAACAGGAGGAAAGGCGACTTGAAGTCCACTAAAAAAAAACTGCATATTGTTAGCTCATGCATCACATGTTAACAAATGAGACCTTATTGTAAAGTGTTATCTACATTTTAGCAATATATTTTATATTAATAATATTGGAAACTATAGTTACTATGGTACAATATTGTGGGACCACCAACTAAACTAGACCACCACTACTGAAGTAAACTGTATGAATAATGAGTTTTGTCACACACAGACCTTCGAATTCGGCCGAAGGCACGTCGGTCCTGACTCCAGCCATGTGGTACTGCTGTGCGACGGACTGGGCCAGCATCCCCTGTAGCCGGTCCAGTGTGGCCTGACCCTCGGCCGTCAGGTGAGACAAACCCTCCTCATAGGTGTAAAACGTGGGGACGTCGCCCTGACCCTGACCCTGCTCTTGCTCTGAGAGAAAACAGAAATAATACAAAAGCATTGAAACCATGTGAAAGCGGACTTTAATATTCCATTAAAAAGCAGAGAGAAACCAGATCAGTGGTTGTCAACCAGGAGCCAGGAGTCATTAGGGGGCCTCAGGAAGCTTTAAAAAGAGCTCAAGATGACTCTAAAAAGGCCAAACCAGCTTTAAAATAACCTAAACCTGCTAAAAATCCAAATGTAAGCTGACATCATATTTGTTATTTTAATTTGGAATTTAAATTATTATATTAAAAAAACAAAATTAAAATCTTTTCTTTTTTTTTTATTAGTTTTTCAATTTCATTCGATTTTTAATAGACCTGGAAGTGTCATGGAAAATGATCAAATCTTTAAAAGTCATGAAAATGTATATAATGAATATAGATTCTTCTAGTTATTTCATGCACTAAAATATTTAATCATGTAGTGACTTTCTGAGAAACTGCCATTTGAGAGTAAAAAGGATTTTAAAACTCATCTTGTAATTAATCAATGTAAATTCATTGCTCAAAAAAAGAGTGAACTATGAAAAACACCAAAACATCTAGAATTACGGAATTAATTTTTTTCAATTTTAATCACTTATAAGTAGTTTATTTCATTATTTTTAAGGATTACAGAAATTTTTCTTTTTTTTTATTATTATTTTCATTTTTCTAGAATTACAGAATTTAATTATCTTCATTTTAATTGTAATTTTATACAGAATTTTTTTTTCTTTTTTTATAAGCAGTTTATTACATTATTTTAAGAATGACAGAATTGAATTGACTGAATTTAGAATTTATTAAAAAGTTGTTTGTTTAATTGTTGTAGAATTGAATTATTTAAAAGTAGTTTGTTCCAGTATTCTAGAATGAAAGATTTCATTTATTCATGGTTTGTGTAAATAAAAAAGGCTTTGTCGTTACAGCAGCTTTTGCACCAGAAATGTCTTGGCCTGTTTGAGGGGCTTTTGAATATTGTCTTGGACTCTGGGGGACCTTGGAGTCCAAAAGGCTGAGAACCACTGCGCTAGATGCATTATGGATCCAAATGACTCTCACCAGCCTCCTCGACGTCATACTCCTCTCCCTCGTAATCGTCATCATCGGTGTCGGCGTCATCGGGGTCGGGGTGCAGGGCCTGACAGTCGCACATGGCGGAGAACATGGGCTCCACTGCACACACAAACACACACCGTCACTCATCCAGCAGTGATGCTCACGCTCAACTCATCCACGCTCGCTCCACACACTCACATGCGGCTTTATCACTGGGCACGAAGCGGATCTCTGTGATGGTTCCTGAGTCTTCACTGTCGCTGTCGCTCTCCTCGTCGTCCTCTCCTGCATCATCCGAAGCTTTATCCTGCTGCTCTGCTTCAGCTTCATCTGGAAACACAAAGAAGATCGGTCAGGTCAAACCTCTGGATACCAGAGCATCTCTGTTTGGAAGATGATGCCTCACCGTCCAGTTTTGCATTGACCATCACATACAGGTGCTCTTCTGGAAAGGCGCTGAGATCTCGTGAGATCGCGTGCAGACTGATGGAGGGGTACTCGAGACAGAAACCCATCCCTGAACCATCAAACCAGGACAGATGCCTGCGAGGACAGAGAACAGCTGCATTAGTACAGATATCCCAAAAAACATCATGGCATGCTAAAACCATGTTTTTGTTTGTTTGTTGCTTGTTTTTGATATGAGATACCATGAAAATACTATGTATGAGTGTGTGTGTGTGTGTTTGTGTATAAAACGTATAATACATAATTATTAATATAATACATATAAGTAATGAAAAATAAATAAATTGATATATAAATAACCATTTATATAAAGTATCACAAAATAAAGAGAGAAATAAATAAATGGGTAATAAATAACTAAATATATAAATTATATAACAATTAATATGATAAATATAAAACGGACAATAATAAAAATATGATATTATATTATGGAATATATTTTACATAAAATAATGAAATATACAAATATATAAAAATATAATTATTTACATTTATAACAAGTATTATACATTATAAATATAAAATATACATAAAATAAATGTCTAATTAAATATAAAACATATACATTTGTATATATATATATATATATATATATATATTCTAAATATAATACATAAACAATCAAAAAATAAATAATTACTTTGTATTTATATAATATTATGTACAATATATTGTAATACATATAATTACATATAATAAATAAAAAATATATTAACAAATAAATACATTTAGATAACGTTACTTATTTATATATCACTATATTGAATGATACCATATTACTATCTCATGCTACCACTGTACTAACTCATTACTTTTCGTAATGTGTCTACTACCCTTGCTAGCCATAATGTGTGTTTATTTTTAGAGTTTAAGCATACATAAATAACTAAATGCGTGCACAGGTCTTCTGCTGTAGGACACTCACACTCTCTCACTCTCTCACTCACACTCTCACACTCTCTCACACTCACACTCTCTCACACTCACACTCACTCTCTCACACACTCTCACTCTCTCACACTCTCACTCTCTCACACTCACTCACTCTCTCTCTCTCACTCACACTCTCACTCTCTCTCACTCACACTCTCACACTCTCACTCTCACACTCACACACTCTCACACTCACTCACACTCACTCTCACACTCACACTCACACTCACACTCTCACTCTCACTCACTCTCTCACACTCTCTCACACTCACACTCTCACACTCTCACACTCACACTCTCACTCACTCACACTCTCACTCACTCACACTCTCACACTCACTCACACTCTCTCACACTCACTCACACTCTCACTCTCTCACACTCACTCTCACTCTCACTCTCACTCTCTCACACTCACTCTCACTCTCACTCTCACACACACACTCTCACACTCTCTCTCACTCACACTCTCACTCTCTCTCACTCACACTCTCACACTCTCACTCTCACACTCACACACTCTCACACTCACTCACACTCACTCTCACACTCACACTCACACTCACACTCTCACACTCTCACACACTCTCTCACACTCTCACTCTCACACTCTCACTCTCACACTCTCACTCACTCTCTGTG